TCTTTAGATCGTCATGTTATGAACAAGTGGCAGGTATCGTAACTGATCGATGCTGCCAGCTCACCCTTGGCTCGTTTCTCCTGAGCCAAGGTAGTCCTAGGATGACATCAAACTTGTCATCCAGGTCGAGTACGATGAAATCATCATCGTACTGTGCATCTTTTAACGTGTAGTGGATTCCAACTACACGTTTCTTCATAGTGATCGATGCGCCTGTCGCTAGGCGCACCGCCATTCTCGTTGGAGGGATCTCCCGCTCCACGAAGACGATACTTCCAGCCTCCAGCGACTGGCGACGAACAAAGTTGTTCGACGCCTTACCGTCAACTAGGGCGCAAAGTGACAAGTCCTTTGTCACTTCTAACTTCAAGGTGATGAGGGACACTTTATCACTGGGTGCAGAGACACACAGTGATTGGGCGTCGGTAGCAACCTTCTTCAAGAGACTGCAAACTCTCTTGATGTTGTCGGATCAGTAGGGGTTCGCCCTTACTGACCCCGTCCATTTTTTGGTATTCCGCGTCGCTGTCGCGGAGTTTCAACAGCAACGGACCCTCGTCCTTTCGTTCTTCTTACTGGTGAATGATTACTGCGCTCAGCACCACGGGGTCCTGAGAGGGGGATACTGCATTCGTATGCATAGTGTCTCAGCTTATGACATCGATGGCATCTCAACATTTGCTTGTCGTTCACAGCGCGAGGTTTCTCGCCATTAACATGACAGAGGTCCATTGGTTATGGACCTCCGACCGCTGATCGTCTTTGTGGACGAAAAGGGGTCAGCGTAGTGTGAGCCTGTCTCACACTAAGTTCTACCTGCTCCACAGCGTAGATTGTTCAAAGAATGCGTCTTTAGCTACCCACGAAACGGGTGGTCTCTGACGGGACCATCTGCAAGACCTTGCATGAGTATTGTGATCTTCACAAATTCACTCACATGGTTCACTACCATGCAACTTTCAAGGTAGCGTACGTGCTGAGAGTAAGCGTGAACCTTACGCTTGCCCTGTTTGATCTCAAGGAGTTAAGATAGAGTCCTGAACTCTGCTCTTGGCGGCTTTTGCGTTTTGCTGAGCAGGGACTTGATGAGGTCTAACGACTCGAACACGTTCGGGTCGTGTAACTTGAGATTCAGGGCCCAATTCCTGGCGTCTCCTGCCAATTACGACTGAGCGAATGCGACTTGCATTAGCTCGTTGTCGGTGCGACGGACCTCGATGGCATCGTCGACTCCGACGAACCATCTCATCAGGGAGACTTCCTCGACTCCGTGATACTTGGATATCTCTAGCTTTAGAGACTCCTGTCGCGCTCACGCGTTGACAGCGCGGACTGAGACTGATGCTGTCTCAATTCTTCCGTCCGCTGGTTATCTTGTTGCTGCAACAAGGTCACCTGCGCTCGCGACTCATCAAGTTCTTGTTGCAAGAACTTGCTAATGACGGAATGATGCTGGTCTCTATCACTTGTGGATAGCATGGCCCAGATAGCTTCCTCTCCAACGGTCGAACTCATTCGTTCGATCGCGCTCCAATCGATATCGCTCAAATGGGAGTAGCTTTCACGGGTTCCGAGAAATCTGTTGCCTTCGACTTCGTCCAACATGTTCATGTCGGGCGATGGGAGTGTGGTCCTTAAACGGACTACAAAGTGCTACAACGGGGCACCGACGACTACGTACTGTACTACCAGCACGGAGTCACTTTCATTGACAACAGTGAAAGCCAGTGCCCTGCTAGGTGTAAACACTTGCACATATGAAGGTAACGATAAAGGAAAAGGCTCTAGTCGTGGTAAAAGTAGAACTGTTACTTAATACAATTAAGTCCTATCTCTCTTGTATCTCTGTTCGTCCTGACTTAATTATATTAATATAACTAAACGTATGATGACGTCTACTCACCCCCATTGCGCGCGTCTAGTAGCGATTGGTGGGTTGGTATCATCACGATATCAACCAATGAGTAGGCCCTTCGGTCATCTAAACAATATCACCCTACTTAGTGATATTGTTAAAAGAATATTCGACGTAATATTCTTTATTGTCATTTTATCCTTAATGACACTTTCATGCAACGGGCTACCCCGTTACATGCTGCATTATGCGGAGAGGGCGCGTGTAAATGTATCCTTTAGAGCGGCCGATCTTTCTCAAATGTTGATCCCTTAATGTGTTGGAGTAGACTTCATGTGTCACCATTTACAATGGCCACCGCGAGCAAGCCGTATGTGACCTTCTTTATGTCGATAGTGAACTCCTTAATAGCCCTTATTGACCTTGCACTGAGCAAACAGGTCTCTACAGTTTTCATAACAATGCTCATCAATTTTGCTGGTCTGCAAGCACACCATCCGAACTAGAATCTGGTGGCTCAGTTTATGTAGCTAATCTTGTTCCACTTGAAGGAACTCGTACGCGAATCTGCATACACGCTTGTGACCTCAGTGTCGCGTGCTGGGGAGGGAAAGTGTCCAGTGCAGCTAGTGCACACTAATGTAACGTCCGCTGGACGAATGCATGCTAGCGAACAACAACCGACTACTTTTCGAGGTATTACGATGGTCTTTGAGTCTGCTAGTACCGGCATGAGATGTCAGTTCTTCCATACGTAGGAGGATCACTTTCCCGCATATACTCCAGTGAATAAGACTTTTTGTAAAGGTGCAGGAAGTCGGGACGTTTCGTAACGACGAATGCGCATAAAAGTCAAATGTCAAGAGAGAGTTTACCGGTTTCAACATTTGTGACAAACAGAAACATTTTCAAGGTATATAAGACCGATCAACGTGCAACCACCAAAGATACTAGGCACAACCACGGTACCTCTTTACTGATACTCCAATCACGATTTTGTCCAGCAATTCATATATGTCTTCCCAACAAAGTTGTATACATTGAAAGTCGACACGGCCGCAAACGATAGCTATTGCCCCACATATTTGTTCGAATCCCTCATGCTTCTGTCCGCGTTGTTCAAACGGAAGAGGATATTGCAGCACCCGCTAAAACGCCCCTTACTTGAATGCGCATTCTTCCTCGCCTGCGTGGTGAATGCTGATATAGTTGTTCATTTACATTTACCTCTATGTAAATGACTCGAGCCTACAAGTACCAAATCTCATCGATTCCGTTACTCATTACAAACTTATCGCATGTGATTTTTGTTGCTTACTCGAAATAGGTGGAATCACGTCGGAAATACACGCCGTCACGACATGGACGAGCACGAGAACCTCTTCAAACGTCGTATCACAATACACGGCAAACCATAACATGGGTTATTTTTGACAGGATAGACGCTCCTTGACGAATCAAGTAGATTGGTGCGTACCAAGGTGTGTACACATGGGCGCCTGGCTTCTTATGCAGTGTCTTACTGGCAAAATATGTGAAACAGTCGATTTTGGACGCGAACGCATTCATGTGTATATAAAACAATGGTGATTGCCACGTGCTGAGCCCTTAAAACTCGAAACTGGTCGCTCTCTGGTTTACGTTACTACAAGGAACGAAGCCATCCTGAGATAGAAAATCTATCAACCCTTGTAAAAGAGTTCGGTATATGCAATCTCTGGGATGGTTTTGCCGGTCAATAGCGACACCAGAAAGAAATGGAGAGCCGGAAAGCGTAAACGGAGATTGTTGTACGATTTTTACGCGAACGAGCTGGTGCATGCGCCTCGATATGGGTTTGGCGCGGTGGTGCACAAACTGTGCGCGCATGCGTTTGGTTGTAATGCATCAAACGAATTTGGATCACTTCTAAGTTACTTTTGTCGGAATTCGGAGGTGAACGCTTTTGACCAGGAAAGCGATTTTAAAATGGGAAGTACTAACTCAACAGGCTCTAGGTCAACATTGACCTGGCCGCGAAGACAAGTCTTCAAATATAAATTAGTCTGGGATCAATTTGGTATTTCGTTGTTTGGTATCTAACGTAACAATGAGAATGTAATTCAGATTTCGGAGCAACGTGTTACGTTTTGACCGAATGAGTATTCAGCAAAACCAAAAAGCCAACAAGTGGTAAAACACCTATTGTCGATGAGTCAATGTAGTCCTTTCATTTCTTTGCGCAGTTGTAAGTTGACACGAAGTTGGGATCACGCTCACCATGGTGTGCTACCACAAATCAATAAAACTTATTCGGTTGCAGCACCGGCATCCGGTGCCATAAATAACATCGAAATTGCAACTACAATCCCTGACACGCCTCCATGTGCGCGAAAACATCATCGAATATAGCCCCTCGTTCGCATGATTCGATACGCACCATGGATGGGACAACAACGATGGTCTTTTCATCTGATAGTTCTCCACGTCAAGCGGCGTAACATCTCCCATTTGACAAAAGACAGCCATCACCCAGAGCACACGATTTGTTATCGTTGGATAGCATCCTCCAATGCCAAGCACGGGTAGCTGACATGTGATCGCCAATATTTAATGTCTCGATCTGGACGAGCACGAACGAACCGACGCAGTACTCCAAGTGTGCAACCGAAGAGACGCTCTAGTTTATGTGCCTGATGCGTACGCTTACTGCTTACCGGCACTTCCGAAGTTAGTGTGGTCTGCAAAGCAACGTAAAAGATGTCGCTGCCGAAGTCGTTCAGCAACTTTGTTGTAATCTCCTGTAGCATTCTAGTGGCATCAGTTACTTGACACGAGCAGCGCAGCTCGCGCGACAAAGCGCAACGTTCAATCAAATACTGTCTTTTACTTATTTGCTATACTACAGCGCAAACTCGACACGTTCCGATACAGCTGCTCCAAAGCCGCGCGACAATGGGAAGCAAGCTGAGCGTCCCGATGCTTGGCGTACAGACGAAGAACGCGCACGCAACGTTCATCGTGTACACTGGACGCAGCGAGCGCCGCCGACTCAACTTCCGACACCAATCGAGCAAACGCTCCAAGTGCTCGAGCGCATTCCCGCAGCAGCTCAATGGAAAACAGCGACTGCTTGTTCGCGTGCTCAACTTGCGCGAGCACCACCGGTATCGCCTGCATCCGAAGCTGCTGCGCTGTGCGCTGTGCCAGTACCAGTTCGGTCTCTGGAAACCGTGGCACGGCGCACGCAATATTCGCGAGAGCACCAATGGCACACCGCGACATGCCAAGGTCCGTAGCTTCGACCGCTTGAATCAACGGTACCACCAGCTCCGCGTGGGCAACAAGACACGAGTTCTGCACGTCTTCCGTCAGCTCTGCAAGCCCAGCACACCCTTCGCGCATGGCATCGAGGCACCGAGACGTGAGCATGATCTTCATCGCTTCCACGCCCGAGCTGGGCGTCGGCTTCTTCAGTGACAGTGCTCGCCAGATCCGTGTGCCATGGTCGACAGACTGCGATGGCGTCAAAGTAGATGCCCTGTCGCGATGCGGTGGCCCAACCGCCCGATCTCTCAAGGCCGACGACACACTGTTCCGCGCCACCCGTTTTTGACCGCTGCTCTGCGGGCACGGCAGTGCGGCGGGGTCGACAATGACCACCAACTTCTGATGCAAGATGCGGTACAGTCCGTCCCAGAGCAAGACACTGCCGCTGCGGCGCTGGAATTCCACAAGCAGCGTGCGCGCGTGGGCGTACACGCGTGCGACAAACTCCACGTGGCTGTAGTGCACGTACTTGAGGCACTTGAACTTGCACTTGAGCGGGTGGAAAATGGCTTCAATGCCGCAATCGGTAAACAGCGCCGCGAGCAGCGACGTCACGTGCGCCGTGGCCGTCCGCGCGCCCGTCGTCGTGCCCGTGGCTTTGCAGTAGAAATGGTACGGGTCCACTGGATACGGCGGCGGCGGCAGCGACGGCGCAACGATCTGCTGCAGCACAGACGACGACAGCGGCCGCTCTTCTTGTGCCTCGTGGCCGTCCGTCGCCTCGTCAACGCCACTCGTGACACTGTCGACGTCGTCGTCGTCCCCACTGCTCAGTCCAAAGTCGTGTCGTCCCGTCTGCGGGTTCACCACGTACGACGCAAAGCTGCTGGAGCTGCTCGTGCTCGCGCAGCTGTTGCCACTCGCCGTGCGCGCGCGCTTCAGGCGGCGCCACTGCTCGTACGGCGTGCGCTTCGCACTGTCTGCGCACGCACGAGCGGTGGGCTCGTGGCGCTCGCGACTGCCGCTGCGCGAGTCGGTCCCCGCGCGAACGCTCCGGTGGCTTTGCACGGCGGACGTCTCCAGTGCGCCGCAGGTCACAGTCGACGTCGACAGTTCTCGCAGTGTCCTGAGCGCCACAGCCGCCGCCGCCGACGACGACGACGACAACGACGCAGCAGAAGGTCCGCACGCTATCGCTGTAGCAGTCGTCCCGAGTCGCGGACGCTGCTGCTGCTGCTGTTGGCGCTGGTGGTAGTGGTGTTCCAACTGGGCGATGGGCTGGTGCGGAACCTGCCGGCGCAGTCGTCGCGCCACATTGCGACTGTCGGTCGGCTCAGCGGCAGTGGTCGGGCGCGGACCTATGAGCGCAGCCATCGGACCGGTAGCGACGTCGTTCGTGCGGTTGTTGCTAGTGCTGTAGTGGCTGTGGCTGTGCGGGCGCTGCGCGGTGGGCATTGGGGCCGAAGCGCCGGACGACGTGGACGGCGTCTTGCGCGGCGTCCACTCGCCACTGAACGGGAACGCCATCTGCGCGAGTGGGAACGAGGCGCCGCACGTGCGGGTTTCGGAATGGCCAACGGAGGCGCCGGACGCGACCGACGGCGCGGTGGGCATACAAACGTCAAGTCAAAGAGGCGCTGCGGGGCGTTGCGCGCCGAGGCCGTCGGACGGGCGTGCGCGCGGGGGCGGAAAAGGGGCAGAACGTTCCGCCCCGGCGAGCGGGTTTTGGCAAAGCGGGCGTCGAAACAGTGCGTGTTGTGGTTTCGATAGTCGAGCTGAGCTTTAGCTGGCAACGTTTTCGACAAAAAGGGCGAGAGGACGTGTGGGCCACCGGACGCTCGGAACGAGTGTTGCGCGGCGCGTCACGCGTTCGGTCGATGAGCGCTCTTCGCAGCTATTTGCTTCATTCAGTGTGCACAAGACACCTCGTTGCGGTTCGTTTCATGAGCACACAAGTCGATCGATCGAATTGCACCAATACTCCGAGACAACAACGGTAGACGCAAGAAGTACCTCGTAGCGCTGCTGTACACGTGGTCGAGAGAGACATCATTGCGATCCGACTTGAGCGGGTCCAAGACGCAACACCGCCCGACCGCTGGTCCAGCTGGGAGCAGCCAGCACGCACACGCCTATTTCCGCTGCGTGGGCAGCCACCGGTGATCCTTGCTAGCGTTTTTCTTCCGCTTCTTGGCCATAAACTTCGACAGCCTTCCCGTCTCTTGCAAGTCTTGGAACTTGGCCTGCAGCTCGAGCGTCTTCTTGTCCTTCCGCTACAGCAGTCAAGCAACGCGCACGAAACACATCAGTCGGTCAGCTCTATCTACACTTGCTGTCGTCATCGTCACACAGCTCCTCGAACCTTCAGGTAAAAGGCGCCCTTGCCACTCGCCACGGCCTCGCGCTCCTCGCGCTTCCGCTTGGTCAGTGCACTCTGAATCTTGTCCCGCTTCTGTTTCTCCGTCACGTCCTGTTGCCGCACCGCAATCTCGTGCTACACACATAGCCGCCCCACACCCAAACCACAGTCACTTCCATTACTACACTCAGCTTGCGACACAATCACCGTAGTCACTCTCTGCAAGCACTTACCTTGAGCTCGTCCCTCTTGGCCGCGCTCTTGGTCTGCTTGAGCTGCTGCTTGAGCTGCTGCAGCTCGCGGTGCTTGTACTCGTCCAGAAACGCGTAGCTCTTGTGGAACAGGTCTTCGTTCAAACGGCCGCTCTGTGCCTCAAAGCGCGGGTCGAGCGCGCGCTTCTTTTTGACCTCCACCACCTGCCGAAACCGCCCGACTGCACGCTTCGACGAGAGCTCTAGCGGCTGGTTCTTGTTCTCTCGCTGCGCTCTTCGCGGTATGAACGGCTTATGCGCTGCATCATTCTTCTGCGTAGCAAAGCCCTGCTTCTGCAGACGCAGGCGCTCCTCTAGGGGCACGTCGCGCGCGTGGCTTACCTGCTCCATTCGCGCGGTGGCGTCGGGACGTGCGGTCAATCGTCAAAGTGGCTACATCGGATAAGTGGCTCGACGAAACGCCTGGTTTTACCGCGTTCCAGCGCTTTTATGCAGTCATCATCAGCCGCGTGGCTGGCTTTATTCGTGATGTGTCAATTCGCTACAGCCCTACCGAAACGACGCAGTGGTCGTCACTACTCCTCTCGAGTAATAATGGCAGACACGACGCCGCTTACTGTTATTACGCTTTCTTGCTCTGTGCATGCACTGCAGCTATCTCCGCGTGCACTTGAATGTAGTGCGCTCGAGAGCGGATGCTCGTGTGGTCCCCAGGTACCATTGCGACGTAGTTTGGGACAGCAGAGCCGTCTCCCGCATTGCTCGTGGGGTCCCCAACGAGCTTCTGCAGCGAGCGACAGGCAAAGTCGAGGTAGTAGGTGTCCTCTACTCCGCAGATCACGTGAACCTTTCCACGTAGAGTCGTCTGCAACAATTCGGGTCTCGTCTGGAGGAACTTGCAAATGTCGAACTGCTGCCAGTCCTTTACCACATCACGATTGATGTCACCCGAGACCTTGTCAAACAGCGGGGTTGGCATCCCATCCGCTCCTCGCGGACCAAAGAGCGCAGCCTACAACAAGAATGTCGTCAACAATCGCCCACCATAACACAAACGCAGCTCAACGTACAAATGCATCCCACTGGCCGCCGTTGCCACGGCCGCGTACACGCTCCAGCAGATTTTCATCGCGGTTGCTGCACGTAGCAATTCCGCTCTTGCGGCAAGCCGGGTAAGGATTGCCACTGACGTCCCAATACATATTCGATGCTTCGTAAATATTCACGACTTGCAAATGCGAAAAGTCGACCGGATCGGGGGCAGAACTCCATGTACCGCCAAAGAAGTCGGGAAACTGCAGTTGCAACCACAATGTTGCCCACGCACCAGACGAGTGGCCATGCAGGAAACGACCAGACGCAGAAGGAATGGCAGGGTACAGGCTCTCAAGGTATGGGATGAATTCCGTCACCAGTGCTGTTCCCCATGGACCATTGGTCGCAGTGTCGGCGAATGAAGTGTGGCCAAACTTGAAGCGAGACCCTAGCGTGATGCGCAGCATGGGTGTCGGCCAACGTCCGGCTTTCCAGTCCTGTCCCATTTCGGACGACAGAAACGCCTTCGCACGCTTTGCGTACGACTCTGTGCCACCAAACCCTTCAATATAGTACACTGCGGGGAGCTTGCACGATTTCTTTAAGGCCTCGTAGCTCTTTGGAAACACAATGGAAGCCATCATGTAGACATCTCGGCCGTGGTATTTGCTCAGGAGATTGCTCTTCATCGAGACATGATCCATCCACTCGGTTGGCGTCAAGTCCATCGTCTCGACAACGACCTGATCTGCCACTAGCTCGACGGTGTTGACGGCTTCAGCGTCGTCGAAGCGCACCTCCACCGGTTTGCTGTACGTGTTCCCCACGCGCGAATTGGCGTCTGGGTCATTCACGTCTACAAGTAACCACACGTTAGCCATTAGATCAGCAGCACAAAAGGGCCATGCGCCCAGTCAGTTGTCGTTCGTACCATGATGAAGCACCGCTTGGACAAACAGTTTATCCGAAAACACATTCAGGTTCTGGGGCACAAACCCCAACGCGTCCGGCGTCGAGAAGTCCGTGCTCTTGAACTCAATCGCATCGCCACGCTGCACGTTTGTCTGTACACCCCGTCGTCGAAAGAGCAGCACAGGAAATAAACAAACAGTGTGACGATCGCAGAGCCATCACAGCGATCGTGTCTCAGGTGCAACGTACAACGTCCTTGGCGAACAGCGGCCGTGGGGTTTCGAGATCGAAGGCCCCAAAGCGCGGCTCGGGGTGCGGACTGGGGGCAAAAAATAGGATCACGCGTCCGTCTTCAATCGGCGCCTGACCGTCGTACACGACGCGGAACACGAATTGCGACTTGCGGGAGCCCTGCACACGGTCAAAGCATCAGAAGTGACACTACGTTGTGCTTCTAGTGCTACACAAGAAGACGCACCTCTGGATACGAGTAGTAGTTGTGGCCAGTAGTGTGACTGGAAAAGTTCGGGAACACTGTCTCAAGTGTGCGATTCATTGGGCGCGTGGGAGCTGAGTGGGTTGGCACGTGAATACCAAACTGACGCTTTGCTGCGTCGGACACGACTTTTGAGCTTCTGGCACGTTTCAGAAGATCGCTTGGTCGGGTATCACTTGTCACGGGGTATCAGCTCGCAGACGGACCAGATCGTGCAGCCCTTTCACAAACGTAGACACGTCATGTGCGTGCGTGAGCAGTTGCTGGCGTGCGTCCCGTGTGTACGTGGCGCTCTTAAAGTTAGGGTCCATGCCCTAGACTAGGCGCCAAGGCGCCCGCAAGTAACAACGTCGCTCGGTGTCTTTATGTCGCCCACATAAAAGACAGACCCAATTCGCGTGACGTCGCAGGTCGAACATGACGACCGCGATTTACGACCCCGAGAATATCTTCGCCAAGATCATTCAGGGCGACGTTCCGGCGTACAAACTGTTTGAGACGGAGCATGTGGTCGCACTTCTCGACGTCTTTCCCGTCACTCCCGGCCATGCGTTACTGCTAACGAAAGCTGCCGGCGTTGCAACTGTCATGGGTACAGCGTAAAAAGAGACACGTTGTGAGAGGGTATATGCACTCTCTCTAGTGACATTTCCGTGCATGTGGCCGTTTGTTGTGTTGCTAGACATGACACCGGACGTGGCAGCCAATGTGTTTAAGGAACTCCCACGTCTTGCCAAGGCTGTGCAGGAAGCCACAGGCTGCGACGGCGTGAACATTATCCAGAACAATGGCACGGCCGCGGGACAGGCTGTGTTCCACGCGCACATCCACGTCATCCCGCGCTTTGACGACGACGGGCTCTTGAAGCTGCCTGCAAACCAAACAATGATCACTGAGGAGGATGGCATTGCCATGCAGAGCAAGATCCAGGACAAGCTATCGACATCCGATGGTAGTGTCGACTAAATCCCAGTCGAGCGGTCAATGAGTGCCGACGTTAACCAACAATTGCTTCGGTATTTGGAGAAAAAAGTAACAAAGAGACGGTCGCTGTGCTAGTGCTGCAGCTCCGTGTGCTAACATCAATTCATCGCTTCCTGTGCAGGTTTCGGCTCAGCGCCAACCTCGTTGCGAAGCGACCCTGACAGTCGTATCCGCTTGGCTCCACTATGTGATCGCGTACATGCTGTGCTTGCAATCGTCCTTATCGTTGCATTCAGTCGTTGCTTCGTTCTTGGGCGTCAATGTGTTGTTGACCAGAACGAAATAGCTTTGAAGTCGCAGTAATGAAACGATCTCACATGGATGTGGCCTCAGAGTATATGATTAAGGCGAGAACCGCAAGCTTGACAGTTGTGTCTGTGGATGCAAAACCTATGCGCCAGGTAGTGCATATTGGTAAGTGTCAGGTAGTGTCAGGTAGCCACTTCAAGTGGACGGGTATCAATGACGCTCACACACACACTGGCTGAAGCAAGGCTGCATCCATTGATTACGATGTTCGTGCGGTCGACAAATGCAGTGTGTGCCACTAACGGAATCAGAAGCGACCTCATTGCTGACGCCAATACAGAAACCTGCGCTCCGCACAGTTGCAAATGGAACAAGTCGAGCTCTTGTTTCTTGATGTACATGGTAAGTTGTTGTTGCTGTTGTTGGAGACATCACTGAGGTGAGAATATGAAACAACTTCTGCTTGCTGTTCGCTGTCTCTCGACAAGTCGCAGGTTCGTCGCCACCATGTGTCAAGACGAAACCATTGCATGGAAGTCCCGAGCCACAAGCTATGAGCAACGTCTCATACGGGTCACTACCGCCTGGCACACTTGATCAGCACCTTGGCCATGTGTGTGTGAAACGGTAAAGAAATGCAAATTGCGTTGCGCCATTGAAATTGGGTCGCGTTCAATCTCAGTGCACCCGGGCGTGCAGTTCCAATCGGCTGAAACGCGACCCATCTAGATACAACTCGTCAATTGTGGATGTGTCGTGTCCGCAGTGCGGATTGGGGTTTCACACTCACGCAGGACGTGCTTTGCACTCCCCAGCAACGTCCGCAGCTATTTGATCATCGTGAACGCTGCTCACGATGAGAGAGAGAACAGGCTACAGACACAGCATATTGGCGTAACATGGGTGCGTTTTCGCACTGCACAGTTGCGAGGATATGACAGACCTGTAGCTGGAAACCCACACAGGTGCTGTATGCAACGACGCAGATGTTGTCACGCCTTCGTTTGCTCGTTTCTACGGACCGTCATGGAACCGTTTATGTCTGCTGCCGTTGCCATTCTGATAACGTCGATTGCTGTACCTCGAGTCTTTTCACGCTTGTACGCCTTACAACTCGGCGGTTTCTCGCGCTCGACATCACAGCGAATCCCAACACTTCTGAGTGCTTGACTCAGGTCTTTAGAAGAGCACGTCAAGCCACACTGGTCACGCGTGCGCTTTCGCGGTACACTCAACGAGGACGCGCCAATGATGCTGCCCAATGTGGCCCAATGTGGCCCAATCCTCTTCACTCCCCTGATTTTCCGTCGCAGTGCAACGACCATCTGCGTGTACAAAGCACACCCCAAACACTCTCAATCGCGCATAAACGCAGTCGCACCGAGAAGCTCCTGAGCTTTTCTCGAATAACAGTTGCTGTCGTATCACATGCGGCTTCAATTCAAGGACCACAGCGGTTTCTATGCAACGCACGCCACCTTTTACGAGCGCCGACGCTTGGCAGTGACGTCAGTGCTGTTGAGCTGTGGTTCTTGAAGCAAGACGGCAGCAGTGTCGCTACGTCTCAGGATGGACGCCGTGACAAGTGACATTATGCAGTGTGTTCCCATGAAAGTGGCGGCTACAAGCGTGCCAGAGGAAACAGCGGTGCGTGCACGGCAGAGCAAGAAAGCAGTCGACTGCTGCCCTTCGGACAGGACTGAGTTCTCATTGCTGTACGATTGAAGCAACTACCCGATCCGTGCGACAACAGTTTGTATACAAAGTCACGAATCCTTCGAGGCTGCCGCCTATCAGTCAGACGTCGGTGATCATCGAGCTGACAGTGCTGCGTAATAAAGAGCGCAGTAGCGGTGTTGTTGGCGTCAGTTGTAGAAGCAAGATCGCGCTAGGTGACTGTCTTTCCGATGCATGTGTCGGCTTTGCAACTGCTGACTTCATCGTTGGTGGGCAGACAGTCGCAAGCGTTCACGTTCAGCACTGCTACGCGTTGCAGGCACGCTATAGTCGAAGCGATGTGCGAGTCACCAAAAGGCATCCCGCTATCCGTGCAAGACGGTAGACATAGCCTCGTTCGATGCCTGCCATGTACAGCACAAACGAAGGCAAGATGTCACGGATCGCGCGGTCCGAAAGAGGTTTTAGTCAACCAACACGCACTGCTTTAGCCACCTCGGTTGATGCTATCGAGCACAAATCGCTTCGTCGCGTCATTGGTTGCTGCAAATGCATGGCGTTTTGACTACGAAATCTGGTAACGACAAGCATGTCGATCACCGTTTACAGCTCCTTTACTTCCACGCGTCCGACTGACTTGGTGCGCAGGAACTGCATGAACTCGCCACTCTTGTGGACAGGAATGCAAACCGTGAACGCTGCCTCTCGAGCGTACTCATGCGACACAATCTCAGCACCAAAGTACGTACACGTTCGCTGGACCATGCTCGCACACGAGAAGGCCGCTCGGACGCGCACCAATCGCATCGGTACCTTTTCGACTATCTCGGCCTGCTCTATCACTCCTTGCGCAGCAGCTCCATACGCTCGAATGAGACCGCCAGGTCCGAGCTTGACGCCGCCAAAGATCCTTGTG